ATAGATGCAGTTGTAGTTGATGGTGTATTAAACATAGAAACAGTTGTAGTAGAAAATTGCGTAGATGAAGTAACACCTGGTATGTTAAATCCAGAAGTTGTATTATTACTTGTAGTAGATGCAACTGGTGTATTAGTTGATCCTAGCAATCCAGTAGAGTTTTCTAATGCATTGGTGTTATAGGAAAATGTTGGTTTATTTTCCGCCGTTGATGCATTTGATGTTCCAAATGAAAATATAGGCTTTGTAGTACTAAACGTAAACGTCGTAGATCCGCTAGATGCATTTCCACTAAATGTACTACTTGTCAAATTTAATATCGTATTGGTTGTCGTAGGTGGATTATTTGGAATTATAGATGTGTTACTAGATATTGGAATAGTTTGGGTAATTCCAGAAATCCCAAATGTTCTAGGAGCATTACTTGTTGTTGTATTAAATAAAGAAACTTCAGTTTTAGGCGTCGATGCAGTATTACTTCCAAATATGAATGGTACTGAACTTGTTGTAGTAGTTGAGAAATTTTTAAAGGTGCTACTTGTAGAATTATCTGCAATATTTGGAAAAACTGAAGCAGCACCAACACCACCACCACTACCAGCAGTTATCGAACCAACATTAGCTGGAGCAGTAAACATACTTTTTATATCAGTGGTAAAGCTTAAGCTACTGGTCGTATTTTGAACAGAGACAGTATTTATTTGTGTTGACTCAGTAGTGTTAGCAATATTGCCAAAATTAAATTTAGGGAAATCTGTACTCATTGTAAATCCTGTATTAGTTACATTAGGTAAGAAAGATTTGCCAATGCTAGTTTTGATATTGGTTGTATCAGAAAATGATGGTGATGTTGCAGTATTAGCGATAGTACTCTTATTTGTAAAGAGACTAGTAGAAGTAGAAGGTATTGACAGTATAACTGTTGTTGATGGTACATTTGTAGAACTTGTAGAAGAATTTATAATGGAAGTACTAGATTTTAATATCCCATTTGAGGCTACTGGTGATACAATTACTGGAGTAACTGATGTTGTAACTGGTAATGTATCTGTTACCGTTTTTCTAGGTATTATGAATGAAATTGTCGTAACAGAAGGCGAATTTGTTTTTGTCGTCATATTAGTTAATTCTAGTGATGTTGGTGTAGCATCCGTTTTACAAATTGATGTTTCAGAAGTAATTATTGATTTATTCTTGTCATCTGATACTAAATTACTTGTACTCTGTTCCTTAGTACCAGATATATTTTCTGTATTTGGTAAGTTAAATGTTATATGTTTGACTGGCTTAGTATTAGATAATATTTTAGATGGAGTAAGTGTTGGTGCTAAAGCAGATGTAATAATAGGTGTTGTATTAACGTTAGTTGTCGTTGTTATAGAATTGAGAGTAGCACAATCTGTAGAAGAAGAGATTGCAGGTGCTACTTCACTAATTTCTTCCGCCTGAATTACAACATCAGGATTAATTCCACTAGCTGCTGAAAATATGATCAAATAGTGTATTAGAAATTAAATCGTGTTGTTTAAATAAAATAATCACGAGAACTATAAATACTCACCTTTACCAGATATAGCATCAAACATACTTTGTAATCTTGCTCGCATACTAGTTTGTCTCATGTTTACTATATCTTTCTTTTTAATTTCTTCTATATCATTTGTGGTAAAACCAGCATCGATTAAGTGCTTTTGTTCTTCTTCGAACGATTTTAACTTGTCATTTCTTTTTGGTTCTTCTTTCATAAAAAGTTTATCTGTGTATTTAGTTGTGGTTAAAGAACTATTATTATCTTCTTCCTCGTCCTCATAAGGTTTGATATCTTCTTCATTAGTAGGAACAACTTTGGATTCACTATAATTCTTCGTATTACTAAAAGGCTTAAGAATTCCTTTAACACAAGATTGTTTTTGCGTGTTATTTAAAGATTTATATGAATGTGAACTTGCACATCGCTTTTTGTTCTCATTCAGAGCATCTATATCTTCTTTATTTATGATTTGTAGATCAATATGAGAATGTGAATCTTCATGTTGCGAATCTTTCAAAGACTTAAAATGTTTTTCAAACTCAGGAGTTCCACAACGGGAACAGTCAACTAAAATCATATTAGAATATACAATTTGATAAATGAAGTAGCGTTCATTAATAATTATATACATTAATTATATATAGACAAAAAAAATATTGTGCATACCAGCTTTTCTTTTAATACCAGTAGCGACATGAATACTTGAGCTTAGCGAACGTAGAATATCATAGCAGGATGGTGTTTTACTACGTTTAGTAGGTCTAAGATTTTTGGATAAATTATCATCGTCGGATTTAGGTGATTCCTCTCTACCTCTTTTTTGTTTAGTTTCTTCAAAATTGTCAACTTCATTTATTAACATATTATCAGTTCTTTGCTTTTTCACTATATCAGTTGTAACATCTTCTCTGGATGCGTGTCTTTTCAATGATATTTCTTTTAGAACTTGTACGACACTCGATGGTGATTTATTTTCTGATTGGCATATATCAGACAAAATTTTCTGCCTTTCTTGAGGGGAATACTTGGTAGTTTCTGGTGGTGCGACCCTAACTGTAACAGGTCCTCTTGTCTTAGCAAATTTTGTATTGATCAGAGGAATAGGACTGGCATGGAGATTAACTTTTGGAAACTGGCCGGCGCTGTATTGCGACTGGTGAGTCAATTTATTATTAGCTTCAGCAGCATATTTAGTTAACCTCAATGTTAATCCTGGTGATGTTATATCAGTATATGTCCTATCATATAAAGAAAATATCAATGCGAATGAATTGTCAAATTATAATAATAATTAAAATAAATTAGTTACTTAGGATCAATGTTATATCTCGTAGAAGCCAACAATGGTCCAGCAACTGTCTGCACAGTTTTAACTCCGCCTGCTTTAGATCTCATCTTGGGACTAATGCTAGTTCCCCATGGTGATCCCTCAGGTGAGAACGATGTGTTATTTTCACCACGTGTTAGAGTATGATTCTGATTAAACATGGGAGAATTTTTCCTCGGTGATGGTAAACTAGTCTCTAACGTATCCGGTTCTAATCTATGTAATTCATTTTTTTTCAATACAGATAACAGCGTAGAAGTATATTTGTTGTATCTATTGCTTGAATCATGTGATTGGTATTCGTCATCCTGATTGATTTTATTCTCAGATACATTGGATATATCAGAAATATGTTGTTTATGGGAAGTTCGAGGGATTGGACTTAATTGTGGAATAATACCAAATCTTGATGTGTTTCTACTATTAAAAGTAGTATCACTACTTAATTGATATCCACTTGATCTTCGACTCTTCATTTTAACTGTTGATAAACTAACTCCGAAGAAGTATTTAATTTTACTCCAGATAATATTAAAATATCTTAATAGATAAACTATAAATTTTTCTATAACAATCTTCAATTCTAGAGCGGTTTCTTTGAAATAATTAAGAAAAAAATATGCATGCGGCGATAGCAAGCTATCGTTAGTGATCAAGGAATAGCAAACATAAACCACTAGAAATAAGGATATGACTACTGCGAGGACTGGACCCCAGGCGTTGTATAATAATATACACCCACTCAACAAACTTAACGACACTACGACAACCCGGCTTTCGAATTCCAACATATTATTTCAAAAAAGTAACCTCCCCATGTTTGAAAAAAGCACACTCACTGAATCACCGGAACTTCAACTAGAGAAATTGATAAGGCTTACTAAATATTACATAGATAGGATAACGGTAAGATTAAATCAAATAACTCGATTTAATGAATAAACTGGGATGTGACGTCAGAATCTATCGCAACTTTATCCAATCGAATACTTGTGAACATTTACATTGGCGCCATCTACGTTTACTTTCCTTACAATTTTAAATGCATTTAGGAATTAATATTTAATATCTATATGCACTTTAATATTATCTGTAAAGTTGTAATATTAAAATCACGAAGCCTATATACAAGGAGGACGATCGAGATACGTGTTTTCGTCGAATTTGTGTTGTTGAAAATAAAAAAATACTTAGTACGATAATTTTCCACAAGGGCGGCGGTGGTGTTCAGAAGTTCCGATTTAAATACGTGTGATTTTATAAATAAACAAATGAAACAAGTAGTGCACTAGTGTTTCTAGTGGCAATAGAAATCATCCTCTCATAACGTATATACGTAGACACATTTATAACACTGCGATCGTCTTCCTTGATCAAGCTCCGTTATTAAAATATAAACGAAACAAACGAACTTTTAAATACTCAATTTATCTTTATTTTTATCTAAAATGCCGAATATATTATTCGTTGAGATAGCCACTTCCTTATGAATTGTTCTTCAGTTTTTATTTATTTCTATTTATCTTACTTTTCATTACTTATATCTATTTGATAGTTTTTCATTTATATTATATATAATAATAAAGAGATCAATTATAAATGTGTTTATTAATAATGTTTAATTTTACATATAGATATTTTTTAATTTCAAATTTTTGTAGGTTAGCAGCCATTACGTTACGTCACGTATCCGGTTTAAGGCAATTAACTTTTAACGCTTCAAATTACGCTAAAAATACTACGTTTCATTGTTGCTGGTAGGCAGTGGTACAGTGCGAAGCGTTAAAGGTTAAGTCACATATGTAATTCATCAATTTCATTTTTTGAATTCAGACTTTTAACTTCTCACGTATATCTAACAAGTGATTTATTTTAATTAAATAATAGGTATAATAAATGACAATTTGATATTAAATTAGGGTCGATAATTTTTATTAAATAATAAAATAAAATAAAATAAAACAATATATCTTTATAAATTTTTCGTTAAGCTATAATAATTAAATAGCATATTTCAAAATGACGTTTTATTTACAAAGATTACAAATTACAAACGTTACAACTTTTTAAAGCAAAAGTTCTTATTCCTCTTTAAAGATAAAATTTTATCATAGAATTATCCATATTCTTTTGTTCAATTAGATATCTATATTAATTTAGTAATTAAAGTCAATTATTATTTAGTGTCTTCTACGTTTACTACGATGTTTACTTGATTTTTCAGAATCTCTTTCCCGAGAACGACTATGGGATCTATAACGACTATGTGAAGATTTGTGACTACCTGATCTCCTTCGTTGTGCTTTTTTAGGTTTACGAGATCTCCCATGACTATGACTGCGGGATCTACTTCTACTAACATGTTTCTTTCTTTTATTATGTTTTGCTCCTTCTCCTTTTGACGGGGAAGTACTGGTTGACTTAGAACGTCTGTGAAAAAAAACAAACGAAAAAAAAAAAGTATTTATTGCGAAACTATAAAACAATTATAAAAGTTTTATATTCTTACCTGGGCGACTTAGTTCTTTCAGGTACAGCATGTGTACCACTGCGACTAATAAAACCACCCCAAGCATTGTGATGTTTCGGCAATGGTGGACTCGGTGTGTGACTGTCAACGTCGCCACCCCGAGCTTTAGTCCTTGCTTCTTCATATTGGCGACGTAACTCTTCTACTTTCTTTTCCAATTGTTCTGGTTTTACTCGTGGTCTAGAGTATAACTTTAAAATACGACGGCATACATCTTTTATTGCAGACTCGCTGACTTTGAAAAGACAGAACCACGATGGTGAAGTTGGCAGAGGAAGTTGAAGCTGACGAGCACCCAAATAAACACATGCACATGCCACAGTTTCTGGTTGATGCCTCAGAAATACATCCGAGCGTAACGAGTCGTTCATGTAATTCCAACATTGTTGCATTAGAGCACGATTCTTTTCGTAACCCAAAACTTGCAAGTACATTACTATAATTTTGTGCGGATGTTTGACATGTACGCAAAAACCTAATTCCTTCAATACTCTTCTCTCTGACTTAATAACTTGATTTTTTAATGCTACGTAATTTTGATCAAGTATCACTGGTAATATCGGCCTGAAAAAGATGAAATTACATTTTTTAAAAATACAATACATTTATTATAGATTTTTATTTTTAAATAATATTTTAATTCAATGAGTAAACCAAATTTACTTTTGACAAGTAACTTGCTTAATGTGATTAAAGACGTTAATAACATCTCTAATTCTTCTTGGTGATTCTTCTATTTTACAAGCTAAACAGATACAACCCATAGCTGTTGTTTCCATGTTATGTCTCACTAACGATTTACTATAATAAAACCGTTGAAATATCACCTGTCCGGTAGCCATTGCAACCTATAAAATATAAATTTAGGGACAAAAGTTTATTCTTATTTTGATATTGAGTATTGTTATGAAAATGAGATCGATATATGAATTAAAGTAGTGTTTTCCAACTGATTACATACTATGAACCAATAAATTTTTATATTTTGTTATTACACATTGTACAAACAAATGAATGAGCGACTGTTTCTATAGTAAAATATAATGATTGTAGCACGTTACAAATTTAATGTACTATATATATTTTTTCAAAGAATTATAGAAAAGAAACATAAAGTAATCAAAGTAATCTTCAAAATTATACGAAAGTAAATTAACTATAATTATAAAATCAAATACGAGAGACAACTAAGTTCAAAATTTGATTTATTAATAAATGATTTCTTCTTGGGATCATTCAGTTTTTATTTTAATTTAAAATTGAATTCTATTTTTTGTAGATCACTCAAATTTTTTTACATTGACCACCAGTTGAAAAACACTGAACTAAAGATTTTTAAATGATCTAAATAAATAGTATAACTGCGTTATACTGAGGAAACTTCTATCGTTAGGAGGAAAATATATAATTCTTTTTTTTTTGTTTTGTTTTTACTTATATTATTACACTTACTTTCATATAGAACGGGTTGTACCAAACTTAATCTTATTTGCCATGCTAATAATAAGAAAAAGATTCAAATACGTACAATATATAATGTATATAATTCAAATGTAATTATACCATTTATAACGTGTGTTGCAGAGATCATGAAAGATACGTGAAGAAAACGTGACGTGTATCATGTTCTCTCTCCTTCCTCTTCTTTAATTTGTACGTTAGATTTTTATTAGATATACAATTCTCGCGCAGTTCAACTTCGTAATAGAGGAATTTACTTACAATTTTTGTACTGTGCTTAACTATAAACATAATTTATTGTATAACCACCACTTTTTAAATCGTACGAAAGTTTTGTATATATACATAACAATCTAGTTAGAGGTTAGAAAATTCCTAAAAGAAGAATATAATTAAAATAATAATAATAATATTAACCTGTGGTAATTTCAAGAGAATTCCGGCCGTTTGTATTAATTCGCATCCTAATATCCGAAGGTCTGTTTCAGTTTCAGCATCTAAACCGTCTAAATGCGATGGTGTAGAAGCAAGTTTTTCTTCAGGTAAAAGACAATTTTGTAGAGTCAATACGATTTTTCCATAAGATTTGATATTAGTCCCCGTCGTAGGTTTAACTACCGTCGTTGAATTTTCTTTCCCACTCATTTTTTATTATGTACACAAAACGAACAAAAACAAATAATATTCAATCCCTTTTAGATTTATTTAAGTAATCAACGTATCGTGTACTATATTGAAAATGGCGACAATGTTAATATAAAAGTCCCTAGATCGGGTTCAATGTAATTTCCGGAAAATGCCATCACGTTGGGATATTTTTTTTCTTATTGTGTCTTTCTTATCTTGTTTTTCGAATTATCAATGTTACATATATTTCATTATTTTTTTTGGATTTAAATTACTGTTCAAATTCGTTATCGTTTATTAAATAATGTGTTTTAATTATGATATTTAATTTAGATAATTCTAACATATTTTTACTAGATTTGTATAAAGCGCTATCTATCTCTTAACTTCCTTTTTTTCTGATTGGTTGTTGTGAAAATCTCGTGACCACTCATAAGAATTCTCATACTGTGCGTTGATTGGTTATATTTTTTCATACGAAATCAAATAGATTAACGAGGCATAATTAATTGTAAAATACGCGGGAGAATTACAGAAGATTAGTAATAATTAGCAGTCATTAAGGGATAAACGTAAGTTGATTTTATTTTCATAGAAAGATAAGTAATTGATTTCGAATTTGAAATTCGATACTCGTAAAAGAATCGTTGTTTATTTAACATTAATTAATATAATTATAGGAATCCGAAAATGTATATAATGTATTTACATAATTTTCTGATTATAGGTAGTGCATAGTAAGTGTGATTTAACAGCAAGCTGAGTAACTTGAAGTTTATTCTATTATCTAACATAAACGATACGTATGTATGTTTAAACGTTTTATTTTATTAATTTTTGAGATTTTTTTAACTCTTTCACTGCTGAATGCACCTATACATGATAGTAATTATCTGTAAATTAACGGATCCAATATGGTAGTAAAGTATTTGAAAAACGCATTGTAACGGTTTTAGCAGTGAAAGAGTTAATATACAGATTGTTACAAAAATGATCTGTTTTAAATTCATACTTTAAATTTCGCATGTTCAATACTATTGCTTTTCTTTATTTAACTTTTTAGAACAATAACTATTAATATTGTTCTATCAATATATATCAAAATTGTATTATTTAATGAATTGTTTAAGCCAATACCAATTAAATAGTCAAAAATATAACTTTTGCATAAATAGATACACCTGATATATATAGGTTTAGTATTAAAGTAGAATATTTATAATAATAAAATAAATATTCGTAAGAGGTAATTAACTTACTTAAAGGGTTATATACAAGGTAATTTTATTTTTTATATATAAATTTAGAAACAATTAATTTGTTTTTTTAATAATGCAATCATATATTTGTTAAATAACTATAAACATACAATATTTACTATGATAAAAAGAGGCAAATGATATGAAAAAAAAATATATAAAAGAGGTCATTGTCTTAGGATTAGATGATAATAATTCTTTTTTACATTTTCTTAAGAATGTTCGTTAAATTCGGTAAAATATGAAACATTCTTTTAAATTCTTCCGACCGGATGAACCCTTTCCCTCCTTTTCTTTTTCTACTTCCTCCTCTTTTGTCGTTCTCGTGTCATATATATATATAAACCATCAGATCACGCGAGTTTTAAGCACGAATGATTCTCATACACATTTTGACAGTAGTCTGTTATTGTTGTGACATCTAATTATCCTCACCTGCATAAAACTCCGCTATTGTACAATACCAAACGTACAACGCGAACCCTAATTTTTATTGCTAAAAGTGCAGGAAACGAACAACAATCAAAAAATACATAACGATAAATAAATAGGGTAAAAAAAAAAAAAATTGAAAAAATAAGGATAACAAAATAGGAACAATTGAAAAAATGAGAATAATTCTGTGCTCGTTTGTTTGCACTTTAGTATAAATTATATTCGCTATTATACAATGGCAAATGTACAATCCATCGCAAAAGTACACGGACTCTAACTTTTATTGCCAAGTTGCAGGAAGTGACGGACAACGATAAATAAATGGACAAAAAAAATACGAGGGTGAGTTGAAATGTTTTGAGCCCTAACAAACAAACAGAAGCGTTTATTTTTCTTATTTTTTTTTTTTTTTTTTTTTTTCAATAAAAATCCTCGACCGAAAGAAAACAAATTGTTTCTATGTTAGGCTTAAAACTTTTCAACCCACCCACCCATCAACGTGCATGTGTCGTTTTAATTTTCATATTTTAATGTAATTTATTATAACAATTAATTACTCTATACGAGCAGAGAATCGAATAAGTTGAAATAAATAAATTATTTTACACGTATTATATAATATATATATATAATGTATAATATATATATATATATAATGTATAATATATATATATATATATATATATAATGTATAATATATATATGAGTGGTATGTTCATAAAAAGAGGAAAAACAATTGAAAGAGTAAGGATAAATAGGAACAATTGAAAATTTGGGAATGATTCTGTGCTCGTGTTTGCACTTTGATACAAAATGCGAGAGGGCGAGTTGAAAAGTTTTGGGCTTCAATAGAAAAGAACAAAACGTTTATTATTATTATTATTATTATTATTTTTAAATAAAAATCGTTGACCAAAAGCAAATTGTTTCTACGTCAAGCATAAAACTTTTCAATCCACCCACGTGTACGTTGTTTTCATTTTCTTTTTAATGTAATTTTAATGTAACAATTCGTTTATACGAGCAGAGAATCGAAGAATTCAATGAAATAAATAATTTGACACGTATATATGAGTATGTTCACAAATATATATATATATATATACATATATGTTACCTTCAAAGTATATAATTAACAATTAGTTAATTCATGAAAAACTTAAGCCTTCCAAAATAATTAATCGTTTAAAAAGCTAGTAAAGAAAGTATGAAATTGAAGTTTGATTTATCTTTAAAATCTGCTTTTTCTTTTTTTTTTTTACAACAATGTTTATAATTATCCGTTTCATATTTTTTTATTTACTTTGAAAACCAATGTTCTGTTAGTCGTGTGCTGTTTTATTGAATTCTTATATTACCTAATTGAAGTATGTAATTTTACTTTCTTTCATGTTTTAATAGATCAGTATAATCAATTCATGGTTTAGTTAGTTATTTCATGAATTAACGGATTTCATGTTTTAATGGTACATATATATGTGTATATATATATATATATATATATACATATACATGTACGTATTTATATATGTATATATGTA